GAAATGCTTTCGTTTTGAAGGATTTAGGGATTCTTCGTCATCAAGGTAAATGCGCCTCCTTTAATTCACGTCCCTTTTTCGCCTGTGTCTTCATCTATTGCACTTCGATAGAGTTAGACTTCCCTCTACGCATGTATAGCTCATGAATGCCGGTGCACAACGCCAAAATGCGTTTATTAACCTTGGCTTTCTCCACCAAGATGTAGCATTCCTTTGCAGTCTTGTCTGCTGGTTAGATTATAACCTTCTTGTCGTGAAAATAGAGGTTTCAAATTTCTGGCCTAGGGAACCCGATTTTGGGATATCAGCATATATTGAACCGTTGCACCATTCAATCGAACCGTTGCTCGTCGGCTTGTTTATACTGTTCTTTTCTGGAAATCAGTCGATTAATTGGCAAAGTTTAGCAACGCAAACGTAGGATGTCGATAAGACAGCGGTGTCTGTTGGGCAATAGATTTTCTCGGACACTATGTCTCTTTTAACAGACGAAGGTCTTTAAAAGCACTATATACCTAAAAGTCGTTAAAAAATGTCGGTTTCGCTTTCCACTGCTACCAGAATAGCGTCCCGAGGCTTCACATAGGGTGGAAGAAGGCATAAGTGAGATTAAATATATATATATTCCGAAGACGACAGGGCAAGTGGGGCCTGGGCGTGGCCCGAAGGCCAGCCCCCATGTACAGAGACCAGACAAATTTTAAAGTCACCATCACATAAACATCAGTCGAGAAGAGACTGATTTTCCATCGTAAAACCTAGATTCGAATTCATGTCTCCTGCAGAGGCTAATTCATACGATGATGACGAGAGTCCATATTAGGGCAAAAGTAAGTATTTTAGGTTTTGTGACTTGATGACTCAACTTAATATGTGTCATATATACTAGCGTATTTCAATTTGCCTTCGCACAAGAGAGGCGGGAGATCAAATTGTACGTGAGTCCAGTGCACGAGAGGTGTGAAGATTCCCTCCCAGTGACATCTGCTTCCTCTCTCATCTGTCCTTCCCCATTTCCTTTCTTCCTGCGTGCGATGCCGAATAAAGCTTTCGCAAATAACCCCCTCTTTGAGTTCGATGCTCAGGGGCCTGAGGGTGGGTAGACTTGCTCTACAATACGTTTACCTACAAACCTTCCATTGGACTGGGGTAAGCGTATCATAACCACCATCTACATCATGCCTTGAGTAAATCTTTATGCATGACTATTTCTAAATGCAAGATATAGTCCTCGTTTGTCGTAATTTTCTTCAAAGCCACTCAACAAGCGGATCCGAGTCTATTTCAGATTCAGATGAAATGTAGGGACTTGACCATGTTGCAGCAACTCATACTGTGAGCTACTATGGTAGAAACTCGGATTACTCGCTCTAGGATCGGAATTTCTGTGTGATACGTATAAATCGCCTACATATTCAAACGTGATTACCTCAGAGGAAGACAAAACCCTGGGACTGAAGCAAACCTAGACGGTCCCTTCTTTCTTGACTTGCAAATTTATTACGCTTTTAATGTTGCACTGAATAGATTTTGTTACGGACAAAACACTCTTAAGGAACGGACGATGGTGACAATGAGATCCCATTTATTAACATGAAAATGTAGCGTTCTTCAAATTGGAAGCACTTTATAAATCGGCGTAACGGTTTTAGCTAGTAATAGGACAATGGATGAAGCCCGCATAAAGTCACACAGCGTTAGGCTGTGGAAATTTACTTTTCCGGTTCCAATCGCTCGAGTATTTGTCTGACTATCCTTTCAT